TCGAAACTTTGGGAAATCAAAAATGGAGAAATCGGAAATCTGAAAATTCTGAAACGTCAAAATTTGAAAAATTAAAAAATATTGAACAACTGAAAAATCGAAAATCTAAAATTTAGAACATTGGAAAATTAAAATTATGGTAAAATTGAAAAATCTAAAATTTAAAAATCGAAAAACTAAAATATCAACAAATCGAGAAATCGAAACACGAAAATTAAAAAAAATTGTAAAATTGAAAAATCGAATAATATAAACATCGAAATATTCAAAAACTGAGACATCGAGAAATCGAAAAATCAAAAAATCGAGAAATCGAGGGATCGAAAAATCGAAAAATTGAGAAGCCGAAATAGACCAAAATCGAAAAGTTAAAAATGGAAAACTTGACAAATCGAGATCTCAAAAATTAAAAAATCTAAAATTTAAAAATTGGGAAAATTAAAATTGACAACTAGAGACAAATAGAGAACTCGAGAAATCGAAAAATCTACAATTTACAATATCGAGGAGTTGAAAAATTGAGAAATCGAAATATGTATAAAACAGTCGAAAAATTGAAAAATCTAAAGTTTAAAAAATGAAAAAATCAAAAATTAAAAAATTGAGAAGTCGAAAAATCGAAAAACCGAAAAATCTCAATAATGTATTTATAAACCAGAAGTTCAGGATTATGCTACTTTTTAACATTTAAACAACATTTATTCGACAAAATTGTAAGATGACATCATCAACTCCTCGGGAGCATCAACCAATAACTATAAGTAAATTAGAAAATGTTGATTTTTTTTAGAAAAATTTTATAAAAAAAAAAATTGTAGTTTTAGATTCTATTATTTGTCAATATAAAATCCTACTTCCGTGTCAGAGCCAATAAAATGGGTCATCAAAACCAAGTAGGAGTGGGTGGGTGGGGCTAGTTTTTACTTTTTTTTTACGTCTTAGATTTTACCGTTTGTCTGTTTAGAATTCAACTGCTATTTTACACTAAATAAAATATAAAGTCAGTGAAATAAAGGACGGAAGTGGGCGGAGCTAAGTTTGCCTTTTTTATAGAGTCTATAAGCAAATATCTGCCCCGCCCACCCGCCCCACTCTTGATTCTAGTGACCACTTTTATATTGTTAATTATTGACAACGTTATTAACTGAAAAATTTAAAAATCGAAAAACTAAAATATCAACAAATCGAGAAATCGAAAATTTAAAAAAATTGTAAAATTGAAAAATCGAATAATACAGAAATCGAAAAATCAAGAAATCGAGGGATCGAAAAGTCGAGAAGTCGAAAAATTGAGAAACCGAAATAGGCCAAAATCGAAAAATCGAAATGTTAAAAATTGGGAAATCGAAGTATAAAACAGTCGAAAAAATTGAAAAATCCAAGTTTAAAAAACGAAAAATTGAAAATCCAAAGAGTAAAAAGTCGAGAAATCGAAATATCCAGAATTAGAAAAATCGAAAAATTGAACAAAATATTCATAAATTAGAAAATTAAAGAATTGAAAAAGCAAAGTCGAAAAATCTCAAATTTAAAAAATCGAAAAATTGAAAAATCAGAAACTTGAAAAATCGAAAAATTGAAGAACTGAAAGATCGAAACTTTAGGAAATCAAAAACTAGGTTAATCGAGAAATCGGAAATCTGAAAATTCTGAAACGTCAAAATTTGAAAAGTTAAAAAATATTGAAGAACTGAAAAATCGAAAAGCTAAAATTTAGAACATTGGAAAATTAAAATATCGTAAAACTGAAAAATGGAAAAATCTAAACATCAAAAAAAAATTGGAAAACCTAAAATTTTAAAAACTGAAAAGTTAGAAAATCGAAAAGTTGAAAAATTGAGAAATCGAAGCATAAAACAGTCGAAAAACTGAAAAATCCAAGTTTAAAAAACGAAAAATTGAAAATCCAAACAGTAAAAAGTCGAGAAATCGAAATATCCAGAATTAGATAAGCAATTGCTTGCTTATAGACTATGTAGAAAAAAGGCAAACTTAGCTCCGCCCAATTCTTTCCTTTATTTCACTGACTTTATATTTTATTGAGTGTAAAATAGCAGTTGAATTCTAAATAGACAAGCGGTAAAATCTAAGACTTAAATCAAAGTAAAAACTAACCCCACCCACCCACCCCTACTTGGTTTTGATGACCCATTTTATTGGCTCTGACACGGAAGTAGGATTTTATATTGACAAATAATAGAATCTAAAACTACAATTTTTTTTATAAAATTTTTGGGAAAAAAATCAACATTTTCCAATTTATAGTTATTGGAAGCATGTTAAATCGTTAGTCAAGATTTATTTGTTGATGCTCCCGAGGAGTTGATGATAACATCTTACAATTTTGTCGAATAAATGCTGTTTAAATGTTAAAAAGTAGCATAATCCTGAACTTCTGGTTTATAAATACATTATTGAGATTTTTCGGTTTTTCGATTTTTCGACTTCTGAATTCTTCGATTTTTTATTTTTTCATTTTTTAAACTTTAGGTTTTCAATTTTTCGACTGTTTTATACATATTTCGATTTCTAAATTTTTCAACTTCTCGATATTGTAAATTCTAGATTTTTGGATTTCTCGAGTTCTCAGTTCTTCTCTATTTTAATTTTTTAATTTTCCCAATTTTCAAATTTTCGATTTTTTCATTTTTGAGATCTCGATTTATCAAGTTTTCCATTTTTAACTTTTCGATTTTAGCCTATTTCGGTTTCTCAATTTTTCGATGTTTCGATTTTTCGATTTTTATATTATTCGATTTTTCAATTTTACAATTTTTTTTAATATTCGAGTTTCGATTTCTCGATTTGTTGATATTTTAGTTTTTCGATTTTTAAATTTTTATTTTTTGATGTTTAGATTTCTCCATTTTTCAATTTTACGATATTTTAATTTTCCAATGTTCTAAATTTTAACTTTTCAAATTTTGACGTTTCAGAATTTTCAGATTTCCGATTTCTCGATTAATCTAATTTTTGATTTCCTAAAGTTTCGATCTTTCAGTTCTTCAATTTTTCAGGTCTCTGATTTTTCAATTTTTCGATTTTTTAAATTTGAGAGATTTCGACTTTGCTTTTGGACTTCTTTGATTTTTCAATTCTTTAACTTTTTAGTTTTTGAATATTTTGTTAAATTTTTCGATTTTTCTAATTCTGGATATTTCGATTTCTCGACTTTTTACTGTTTGGATTTTCAATTTTTCGTTTTTTATACTTGGATTTTTCAATTTTTCAACTGTTTTATACTTCGATTTCTCAATTTTTCAACTTTTCGATTTTCTAACTTTTCAGTTTTTATAATTTTAGGTTTTTCAATTTCTCGAGTTTTCAGTTCTTCTATATCTCAATTTTTCAATTTTCGGAACTTTTAAATTTTCGATTTTCCATTTTTTTTTAATTTTTCGATTTTCCAATTTTTCGATGTTTCGATTTTTCATTTATCCAATTATTCTCGGTTTTTAATTTTTTATTTTTTTTTATTTCTTTATTTCTCGATTTTACAATTTTTCGGTATTTGAATTTTTCAAGTTTTAATTTTGCCATCTTGGTTTTTCGATTTTTAAAATTTTTTGACTTTTCGATTTATGGATTTCTCGATTTTTCAAGTTTTCGATTACTCAATTTTTTCAATTTTTCGACTACTTTATACATATTTTGATTTTTCAATTTTTCAACTTCTCGATATTGTAAATTCTAGATTTTTCAATTTCTCGGGTTCTCAGTTCTTCTATATTTTTATTTTCCCAATTTTTAAACTTTTTGATTTTGGCCTATTTCAGTTTCTCAATTTTTCGACTTCTCGACTTTTCGACCCCTCGATTTCTTGATTTTTCGATTTCTCGATGATTGAGTTTTTGAATATTTCGATGTTTCGATTTCTGTATTATTCGATTTTTCAATTTTACAATTTTTTTAATTTTCGAGTTTCGATTTCTCGATTTGTTGATATTTCAGTTTTTCAATTTTTAAATTTTAGATTTTTCAATTTTGATTTTTTGATGTTTAGATTTCTCCATTTTTCAATTTTACGATTTTTTAATTTTCCAATGTTCTAAATTTTAGATTTTCGACTTTTCAGTTCTTCAATATTTTTTAACTTTTCAAATTTTGACGTTTCAGAATTTTCATATTTCCGATTTCTCGATTAATCTCATTTTTGATTTCCTGAAGTTTCGATCTTTCAGTTCTTCAATTTTTCGATTTTTCAGGTTTCTGATTTTTCAATTTTTGGATTTTTTAAATTTGAGATTTTTCGACTTTGCTTTTTGACTTCTTTGATTTTTCAATTCTTTATGTTATAAAAAAAATTGTAGTTTTAGATTATATTATTTGTCGCTATAAAACCCGAATTCCGTGTCAGAGCCAATAAAATGAATCATCAAAACCCAGTAGGGGTGGGTGGGTGGGGCTAGTTTTTACTTTGATTTAAGTCTTAGATTTTACCGCTTGTCTATTTAGAATTCAACTGCTATTTCAAACTAAATAAAATATAAACTCAGTAAAATAAAGGAAGGAAGTGGGAAAATTTGTGACAGAGTCTATAAGCAAATAAATAATAAAAAATTTAAATTACATCAACTATTGTAAAATTTGGAGATTACGTCATTTTATTGTTGGTGACAAATTTTGGTGATCGTTCTACCATTTGATAATACAATTTGAAATGTAAATTTTGTCATTGTTCTAGAACTTTGTTCACTTATTCGTTGTAAAGTCCGACCAGAGTGTCGAAACGGGTTAGTTCTGCGTAATGGATCAGCTCTAACGAAAATCGGCTTATAGATAAATCGCTTAGAGTCGATATTCGCTTGAGTGCGCTCTGGTCTGTAGATCAAACAAGTTTCCAGTCGATGACATGCCCATAGAATTTGAAAATTCATCTGACAAAACTGTTGAACTTCCCTGTCCACTTTTTTGAATTATCCCCTAATAATGTGGTTGGGTCCATTCAGGACTGGTAATGCTTGGTTGTAGAAAAAATATTGCATAAACTCTCGTTACAGGTATGCTCCAAAAAGGGGACACCATCTTCAACGTGCGCACCCAGAGGAAGGTGCGAATCGCACGTCTTGTACGTCTGCACTCTAACACCATGGAGGACGTCAGCGAGGTCTACGCCGGTGACATTTTCGCTCTATTTGGAGTGGATTGCGCCAGTGGCGACACCTTCGTGACCGACCCGAAACTAGGAATCTCGCTCGAGTCCATCTACGTCCCTGAACCCGTGGTCTCCATGTCCATAAACCCCGTCAACAACAAAGACCGGGACAACTTCTCCAAAGCCGTGGCGAGGTTCACCAAAGAAGATCCGACCTTCCACTTCTACTTCGACAACGACAACAAAGAGACAATCGTGTCTGGGATGGGGGAGCTGCACCTGGAGATCTACGCGCAGAGGATGGAGCGCGAATACAACTGTCCGGTGGTCCTCGGCAAACCCAAAGTCTCCTTCAGAGAAACCTTGGTGGCACCTTGCGAGTTCGACTACCTCCATAAAAAACAGTCCGGGGGGCAAGGTCAATACGGTAGAGTCGTAGGGGTGCTCGAGCCTCTACCCGCACACAAAAACACCCTTCTGGAGTTTGTCGACGAAACCGTAGGGACGAACGTCCCCAAACAGTTCATTCCAGGGATCCGGAAGGGCTACCTGGCGATGGCCGACAAGGGTTTACTCTGTGGCCAGAAATTGTCCGGGTTGAAGTTCCGCCTGCAAGATGGCGCCCACCACATGGTGGATTCCAGCGAGCTGGCGTTCTTTCTAGCGGCACAAGGGGCGATCAAAGAGTGCTTTGAGCGCGGCACGTGGCAGGTGCTGGAGCCAATCATGACGGTGGAAATCACCGCTCCAGATGAGTTCCAGGGGAACATTATAGCGCAGTTGAATAAGAGGCACGGGATCGTGACGGGAACGGAGGGTAAAGAAGGCTGGTTTACGTTGTATGCAGAGGTGCCCTTGAACGAAATGTTCGGATATGCGGGGGAATTGAGGTCGAACACACAGGGAAAAGGCGAGTTCACGATGGAGTACTGCAGGTACTCACCGTGCTTGCCGGAAGTACAAAATAAGCTAATCGAGGAGTACGAGAAGAGTATGGGGATCGTCCCCGAGAAGGACAAGAAAAAGAAGAAGAACTGAAGAGAGTAAATTAAGTTTTTTATGTGTATATAGTTTTGTAATTAAGTCGCGGTGATAAATTATTGGAACGAGGATTGATTTGTTTTATTGGGTGAGTGGAGGGGGATAATACGTCACAATGAAAACGAGGTCGAAGCCAATGAAACGACCCCATTTGTCATTGTTTTTTTTTTTCGTAATTTAAGTTGTTTTCTTTCGATTACACGTTACTTAAAACATCGGAGTGTCCGAAATTGTGTCATAATAATTTATAATAGAAATTCGTGGCCCTCGAGAATAAATTGATGCTTGTGATGTCAGAAATTGTCATAAAATCATTTAAAATAGACACTTGTGGGCCCCGAGATTCTTTAATCATCGTTTTAAACAATCAAACAAGTATGAATTTGCAATTAAACTCCGCCCCTCGATCAAGCGACCAATGAAAATTTCGTCACAATTGAGAAATGGGCGGGTGGGTGGGGCTAAATTAATCATTGTTTTTTTCCTTAATTTATATGTAGTTTTCTTTTAAAAACGCGTTACTTAAAACATCCGAGTGGAAACAGTCGGAACCACAAGACATTCGAATTTTTTTAATCATCTTTTTAAAGAATCAAACAAATATGAATTTTGCAATTGAGCTCCGCCCCTCGATCAGAGAACAAATGAAAAATTCGTCACAATCGAGAAAGGGGCGGGTGGGTGGGGCTTAATTCATCATTCGTCATAATCATTCAAAATTGACACGTGTAGTGTCCGAGATTCCTTAATAATCTATTTAAAAAAGACACTCGGGACTCCGGAGATTCTTTAATCATTGAACAAATATGAATTTTGCAATTGAGCTCCGCCCCTCGATCAGACAACAAATGAAAAATTCGTCACAATCGAGAAAGGGGCGGGTGGGTGGGGCTTAATTGATCATTGGTTTTTCTATATATATATATATACGTAGTTTTTTTTCCACAACGCGTTACTTAAAACATCGGGGTGTCCGAAATTCTGTCATAATATTTTAAAATAGAAATTCGTGGCCCTCGAGATTGTATCATAATCATTTAAAATAGACACTTGCGGCCCCCAGATTTTTTCATAATCTTCTTAAAAAAGACACTCAGGACCTCCGAGATTCTTTAATCGTCTTTCTAAAAAGAAGCAAACAAATATGAATTTATTTTGCAATTAAGCTCCGCCCCTCGATCAGAGAACAAATGAAAAATTCGTCACAATCGAGAAAGGGCGGGTGGGGGGGCTTAATTTATCATTGGTTTTTCTTAATATATATATACGTAGTTTTTTCCCCACAATGCGTTACTTAAAACATCGGGGTGTCCGAAATTGTGTCATAATATTTTAAAATAGAAATTCGTGGCCCTCGAGATTGTATCATAATCATTTAAAATAGACACTTGCGGCCCCCCAGATTTTTTCATAATCTTCTTAAAAAAGACACTCGGGACCTCCGAGATTCTTTAATCGTCTTTTTAAAGTATCAAACAAATATGAATTTATTTTGCAATTAAGCTCCGCCCCTCGATCAAACAACAAATGAAAAATTCGTCACAATCGAGAAAGTGGCGGGTGGGTGGGTCTTAATTAATCATTGCTCATGATCATTCAAAATTGACACTTGTCTTGCCCGAGATTCCTTAATAATCTTTTTAAAAAAGACACTCGGGACTCCGGAGATTCTTTAATCATTGAACAAAATATGAATTTTGCAATTAACCTCCGCCCCTCGATCAGACAACAAATGAAAAATTCGTCAGAATCGAGAAAGGGGCGGGTGGGTGGGCTTAATTTATCATTAATTTTTCTAAATATATATATATATACGTAGTTTTTTTTTCCACAACGCGTTACTTAAAACATCGGGGTGTCCGAAATTGTGTCATAATATTTTAAAATAGAAATTCGTGGCCCTCGAGATTGTATCATAATCATTTAAAATAGACACTTGCGGCCCCCCAGATTTTTTCATAATTTTCTTAAAAAAGACACTCGGGACCTCCGAGATTCTTTAATCGTCTTTTTAAAGAATCAAACAAATATGAATTTATTTTGCAATTAAGCTCCGCCCCTTGGTCAGACAACAAATGAAAAATTCGTCACAATCGAGAAAGGGGCGGGTGGGTGGGGCTTAATTCATCATTGGTCATAATCATTCAAAATTGACACTTGTAGTGCCCGAGATTCCTTAATAATCTTTTTAAAAAAGACACTCGGGACTCCGGAGATTCTTTAATCATTGAACAAATATGAATTTTGCAATTGAGCTCCGCCCCTCGATCAGACAACAAATGAAAAATTCGTCACAATCGAGAAAGGGGCGGGTGGGTGGGGCTTAATTGATCATTGGTTTTTCTAAATATATATATACGTAGTTTTTTTTCCACAACGCGTTACTTAAAACATCGGGGTGTCCGAAATTGTGTCATAATATTTTAAAATAGAAATTCGTGGCCCTCGAGATTGTATCATAATCATTTAAAATAGACACTTGCGGCCCCCCAGATTTTTTCATAATTTTCTTAAAAAACACACTCGGGACTCCCGAGATTATTTAATAATCTTTTTAAAGAATTGAACAAATATGAATTTTGCAATTGAGCTCCGCCCCTCGATTAGACAACAAATGAAAAATTCGTTACAAACGAGAAAGGGCCGGGTGGGTGGGGCTTCATTAATCATTGATATCTTTTCCTTGATTTACATATAGTTTTGTTTCAAACATCAAGGTGTTCGAAATTGTGTCATAATACCGAAGAGTATGGGGATCGTACCCGAGAAGGACAAGAAAAAAAAGAACAACTAAGGGGGGTAAATTAAGTTTTTTATGTGTATATAGTTTTGTAATTAAGTCGCGGTGATAAATTATTGGAACGAGGATTGATTTGTTTTATTGGGATAATTACGTCACCAGGATTGTGACGTCACAATGAAAACGAGGTCAGGGGTGGGATTTTGTTTCTATAACGATAAAATATCGGTACCGATAAAATGTGGTCGTCCCTTTCTTTCGCATCTGAAATATATATTTTCGTCCTTGTCATTTCTCGCTTCGTTATCGCTTCGTATCGTATAGGTAGAAACAAAATCCCACCTCAGGTGTGGGATTTTGTTTCTATAACGATAAATTATCGGTACCGATATTTTATCGTTATAGAAACAAAATCCCAATAAAACATCACCATAAGAAGTAAAAAATATTTTTATTGACTGACTAGATACACAATTCAATAAACTGTGCGCCTTAAATATGAGTTTAAATTTCTAAAAACGCAATGTCATTTCTTCGATAAGTACCCAGTCTTTCGCACAGTTCGTCTTATATTGCCTGATTCTTACCGAATTACTTACAACCTAGATAATAATTTACCCTATAAATATATGAATACATCCTTACTTGCATATATACATATAGGCTCTTCGCCCGGCAGTATCCCGGTTCATACTTCACCGAACTCGAAAAGAACACCGAAAAAACGACAACGTTTCTCACAATGACAGCAAGAATTTCATAAATTGACTATTAAACTGTCTCCCCAAAAATCTTTGGCACAAATATTAACCTAGCAGTCTGGTACCAGCGCCATTTTGATTACAACCGTGCCCTATCGGCACGAATTTCGGTTCTAGGCAATTTCTATGGAATGGTCAAATCACAACAATCCCGCGACGCGTTTCGGCCGTTTTGATTCGCAACACCAGGACCAGACGAGATTTTGATTAACTTATTGTCATCTAACGTAGCAAAAAAACACAAGCGATTGAGCAACGGAAAAAGGCGAAAACCGTCGAAGGCCGCTCTCTTTGGAAAACCGATTCTGAGATCAACGTCAACCTCCAACTCTTTAGAATTTGATCGTGGATACTAGGTGGCGGCCGCGGACTAAACGGCCGCCGCTTACGTGGCTAATCTTAACTAAGTTAAGTACGAAATGTGTAAATACGCGCTAGAGTAGAGAGAATAAGAAAAATAAAAGTAAAAAAATAATTCGAGTAAATATGCGAGCAAAATATTGCAAAATGCGCTTAAATTACAGTGGAAATGGAGTGCAGGGGGGATTTGGGACAATGAAATCTTAGTAATTCGGTCACGGTTATTGCAATTTGAACTAGGCCTCTTCCTTCCAGGACGTCGGCGGCGCAGCAGAGGAGGTTCTGGAAAACAAAAAAGAACAACATTAGAACCCACTAGTTCTGGTACACCACAAGTGTGCCGCTTACTCTTAAACTAGTCTTAACTATGATAGAGCGATCTAATTGGTTAGCATATAACGTCAATTTGACATTTGGATTATAGCCGATTTGGTTTTGTCAGGTTGGCAACATATTTAAAATTTTATATGATATATCTGATGTCAAATTCCAATTTTGCACACCAATTCAATAGTTGCCATCTTCTCATTAATTTTTAGGTGCGCTCATGTCAAAATTAACAACTGTGAACTGACACACTAACATTGCTGACAATAATTTAGAATTGCCAACTTACAAATTTGCTTCAATCATATAATAGTCAGTAACCCGGTATTGTTTCAAAAATTTCTCGTTTTGGGTTCAAAATTTTCTGTACAATTTTCTTTTCCTTAATGAATGGATTTGCCCCACCCACCCGCCCCATTTCAGTTGTGATCAATATTCTTATTCGTCGTGAGACGGGAGGTGGAGCTAAATGCAAAGTTCATGTTTTCTACAAGAAATTACAATGTTCTAAGTATCATGTTGTTGAAAGAAAACTACACATATTAAGAGAAAAAAAGACAAAAAGTAAGCCCCACCCACCCGCCCAGTCTCACTTGTGATGAATTTTTTATTCGTTATGAGATCGCGGGGCGGAGCTTAATGGCAAAATTCATGTTTGAAGCACTATCGTATTGTAGAAAAAAGATCACTATGAAAAAAAATTGGAAATCAATATTCTTATTCTCTCAAAAGCAAAGAAACAACTTGAACTATACAAAAATAAAAATTTTATTTATTCACAACTTGACTTTTCTGTAAATTTGTGGCATAAATCGGTAGATCTGGCAACACTGGATATAATTTTAACCTCAAATTGCTCCTTTGGTATTTTAAGTATTTTATTGTTGAAAGAAGGCTGTCTATATTACGAAAAGAAAGTCAAAGGATAACCCCCACCCACCCACCCCGCCTCAAGTATGGTTAATTTTTTTTATTCGTCGTGAGACGGGGGCGGAGCTTAAATGAAAAGTGTCATAACCATTAAAATTGATACACGTGGCCCTCGATATTGTGTCAAAATTATTTAAAATATAGACACTTGTCTCCCCCGAGATTCCTTCATAATCTTCTTTAATCATCTTTTTAAAGAATCAAACAAGTATGAATTTGCAATTAAACTCCGCCCCTCGATCAGGGGACCAATGAAAAATTCATCACAATTGAGACATGGGCGGGTGGGTGGGGCTTAATTAATCACTGTTTTTTCTTAATTTATATGTTGTTTTCTTGGAATAAAGCATTACTTAAAACATCCGAGTGTTCGAAATTGTGTCATAATAATTTATAATAGAAATTCGTGACCCTCGAGATTAAATTGATGCTTGTGACGTCGGAAATTGTGTCATGATCATTTAAAATATACACTTGTGGCCCACGAGATTCTTTAATCATCTTTTTAAACAATCAAACAATTTGCCATTAAACTCCGCCCCTCGATCAGGCAACCAATCAAAAATTCGTCACAATTGAGAAATGGGTGGGTGGGTGGGGCTTAATTAATCATTGTTTTTTCTTTATTTATATGTTGTTTTCGTTCAATAACGCGTTACTTAAAACATCCGAATGTCCGAAATTGTGTCATAATAATTTATAATAGAAATTCGTAGCCCTCGAGATTAAATTGATGCTTGTGACGACGGAAATTTTGTCATGATCATTTAAAATAGACACTTGTGGCACCCGAGATTCTTTAATCATCTTTTTAAACAATCAAACAAGTATGAATTTGAAATTAAACTCCGCCTCTCGATCAGGCGACCAATGAAAAGTTTGTCACAATTGAGAAATGGGCGGGTGGGTGGGGCTTAATTAATCTTTGTCGTTTTCTTAATTTATATGTTGTTTTCGTTCAATAACGCGTTACTTAAAATATCCGAGTGTCCGAAATTGTGTCATAATAATTTATCATAGAAATTCGTGGCCCTCGAGATTAAATTGATGCTTGTGACGTCGGAAATTGTGTCATGATCATTTAAAATGGACACTTGTGGCCCCCGAGATTCATTAATCATCTTTTTAAACAATCAAACAATTTGCCATTAAACTCCGCCCCTCGATCAGGCGACCAATGAAAAATTCGTCACAATTGAGAAATGGGCGGGTGGGTGGGGCTTAATTAATCATTGTTTTTTTCTTAATTTATAAGTTGTTTTCTTTGAATAACGCGTTACTTAAAACATTCGAATGTCCGAAATTGTGTGATTATAATTTAAAATAGAATTTCGTGGTTCTCAAGATTAAATTGATGCTTGTGACGTCGGAAATTGTGTCATGATCATTTAAAATGGACACTTGTGGCCCCCGAGATTCATTAATCATCTTTTTAAACAATCAAACAATTTGCCATTAAACTCCGCCCCTCGATCAGGCAACCAATCAAAAATTCGTCACAATTGAGAAATGGGCGGGTGGGTGGGGCTTAATTAATCATTGTTTTTTTCTTAATTTATAAGTTGTTTTCTTTGAATAAAGCGTTACTTAAAACATTCGAATGTCCGAAATTGTGTGATAATAATTTAAAATAGAATTTCGTGGTCCTCAAGATTAAATTGATGCTTGTGACGCCGGAAATTGTGTCATGATCATTTAAAATGGACACTTGTGGCCCCCGAGATTCATTAATCATCTTTTTAAACAATCAAACAATTTGCCATTAAACTCCGCCCCTCGATCAGGCAACCAATCAAAAATTCGTCACAATTGAGAAATGGGCGGGTGGGTGGGGCTTAATTAATCATTGTTGTTTTCTTAATTTATATGTTGTTTTCTTTCAATAACGCGTTACTTAAAACATTCGAATGTCCGAAATTGTGTCATAATAATTTATAATAGAAATTCGTAGCCCTCGAGATTATATTGATACTTGTGACGTCGGAAATTGTGTCATGATCATTTAAAATAAACATTTGTGGCCCCCGAGATTCTTTATTCATCTTTTTAAAGAATCAAACAAGTATGAATTTTGCAATTAAACTCCGCCCATCGATCAGGCGACCAATGAAAAATTCGTCACAATTGAGAAATGGACGGATGGGTGGGGCTTCATTTGTCATTGTTTTATTCTTAATTTATATGTTGTTTTCTTTCATTAACGCGTTACTTAAAACATCGGAATGTCCGAAATTGTGTCATAATAATTTGTAATAAAAATTCGTGGTCCTCGAGATTAAATTGATACTTGTGACGTCGGAAATATTGTCATGATCATTTAAAGTAGACACTTGTGGTCCCCAAGATTTTTTAATCATCTTTTTAAGGAATCAAACAAGTTTGAATTTTGCAATTAAGCTCCACCCCTCGATCAGAAAATCAATAAAAAATTCGTCACAATTGAGAAATGTGCGGGTGGGTGGGGCTTCATTTGTCATTGTTTTTTTCTTAATTTATATGTTGTTTTCGTTCAATAAAGCGTTACTTAAAACATCCGGATCATTTAAAATACACACTTGTGGCCCCCGAGATTCTTTAATCATCTTTTTAAAGGATCAAACAAGTATCAATTTGCAATTAAACTCCGCCCATCGATCAGGCGATCAATGAAAAATTCGTCACAATTGAGAAATGGGTGGATGGGTGGGGCTTAATTAATCATTGTTTTTTTCTTAATTTATATGTTGTTTTCTTTCAGTAACGCGTTACTTAAAACATCCGAATGTCCGAAATTGTGTCATAATAATTTATAATAGAAATTCGTAGCCCTCGAGTTTAAAGTGATACTTGTGACGTCGCAAATTGTGTCATGATCATTTAAAATAGACACTTGTGGCCCCCGAGATTCTTTAATCATCTTCTTAAAGAATCAAACAATGAATTTTGCAATTAAACCCCGCCCCTCGATTGGGCGACCAATGAAAAATTCGTCACAATGGAGAAATGGGCGGGTGGGTGGGCCTTCATTTTTCATTGTTTTTTTCTTAAATTATATGTTGTTTTCTTTCAATAACGCGTTACTTAAAACATCCGAATGTCCGAAATTGTGTCATAATAATTTATAATAGAAATTCGTGGCCTTCCGAGTTTAAATTGATACTTGTGACGTCAGAAATTGTGTCATGATCATTTAAAATAGACACTTGTGGCCCCCGAGATTCTTTAACCATCTTTTTAAAGAATCAAACAAGTATGAATTTGCAATTAAACTCCGCCCCTCGATCAGGCGACCAATAAAAAATTCGTCACAATTGAGAAATGGGCGGGTGGGTGGGGCTTAATTAATCATTGTTTTTTTCTTGATTTATGTTGTTTTCTTCCAATAACGCGGTACTTAAAACATCCGAATGTCCGAAATTGTGTGATGATAATTTAAAATAGAATTTTGTGGCCCTCGGGTTTAAATTGATACTTGTGACGTCGGAAATTGTGTCATGATCATTTAAAATAGACACTTGTGGCCCCCGAGATTCTTCAATCATCTTTTTAAAGAATCAAACAAGCATGAATTTTGCAATTAAACTCCACCCTTCGATCAGGCGACCACTGAAAAATTCGTCACAATTGAGAAATGGGCGGTTGGGTGGGGCTTAATTAATCTTTGTTTTTTTTTTCTTAATTTATGCTGTTTTTTTTTCAATAATGCGTTACTTAAAAGATCCGAATATAAGAAATTGGGTGATAATAATTTAAAATAGAATTTCGTGGCACTCGAGTTTAATTTGATACTTGTGACGTCGGAAATTGTGTCATCATCATTTAAAATATACACTTGTGGCACCCGAGATCATTTAACCATATTTTTAAAAAATCAAACAAGTATGAATTTTGCAATTAAACTCCGCCCCTCGATCAGGCGACCAATGAAAAATTCGTCACAATTGAGAAATGGGCGGGTGGGTGGGGCTTAATTAATCATTGTTTTTTTCTTAATTTATAAGTTGTTTTGTTTGAATAAAGCGTTACCTAAAATATTCGAATGTCCGAAATTGTGTGATAATAATTTAAAATAGAGTTTCGTGGTCCTCAAGATTAAATTGATGCTTGTGACGTCGGAAATTGTGTCATGATCATTTAAAATAGACACTTGTGACCCACGAGATTCTTTAATCATCTTTTTAAGGAATCAAACAAGTGTGAATTTTGCAATTAAACTCCACCCCTCGATCAGGCAACCAATGAAAAATTCGTCACAATTAACAAATGGGCGGGTGGGTGGGGCTTAATTAATCATTGTTTTCTCTTAATTTATATGTTGTTTTCGTTCAATAACGCGTTACTTAAACTATCCGAATGTTCGACATTGTCTGATAATAATTTAAAATAGAATTTCCTGACCCCCGAGTTTAAATTGATACTTGGGACGTCGAAAATTGTGCCATGATCATTAAAATAGACAGTTGTGGCCCCGAGATTTTTTAATCAACTTTTTAAAGAATCAAACAAGTATGAATTTTGCAATTAAACCCCTCGATCAGCCGACCAATGAAAAATTCGTCACAATTGAGATGTGGGCGGGTGGGTGGGGCTTAATTAATCACTGTTTTTTCTTAATTTATATGTTGTTTTCTTTCAATAACGCGTTATTTAAAACATCTGAGTGTCCAAAATTGACACTTGTACTTCCCGAGATTCGTTAATAATCTTCTTAAAGAAGACACTCGGGACTCACGAGATTATTTAATCATCTTTTTAAAAAATTGAACAAACATGAATTTTGCAATTAATCTCCGCCCCTCGATCAGGCGACCAATGAAAAATTCGTCACAATCGAGAAAAGGGTGGGTGGGTGGGGCTTAATTTATCATTGGTTTTTCTTAATATATATATACGTAGTTTTTTCCACAACGCGTTACTTAAAACATCGGGGTGTCCGAAATTGTGTCATAATATTTTAAAATAGAAATTCGTGGTCCTCGAGATTGTATCAGAATCATTTAAAATAGACACTTGCGGCCCCCCAGATTTTTTCATAATTTTCTTAAAAAAGACACTCGAGATATCCGAGATTCTTTAATTGTCTTTTTAAAGAATCAAACAAATATGAATATATTTTGCAATTAAGCTCCGCCCCTCGGTCAGACAACAAATGAAAAACTCGTCACAATCGAGAAAGGGGCGGGTGGGTGGGGCTTAATTAATCATTGGTCATAATCATTCAAAATTGACACTTGTAGCCCCCGAGATTCCTTAAAAATCTTCTTAAAGAAAACACTCGGGACTCCGGAGATTCTTTAATCATCTTTTTAAAGAATTGAACAAATATGAATTTTGCAGTTGAGCTCCGCCCCTCGATCAGACAACAAATGAAAAAGTCGTCACAATCAACAAATGGGCGGGTGGGTGGGGCTTAATTAATCATTGGTTTCTTTTTTACTGTCAATTAGATGTGCTTTTTACAGTTTAAAAAGTTAATAAAGCTTGTTATTATAAAGTAATAAAAATATCCGGAAGAGATGCATTTATGAACCGGCAAAAATATTTTCAAAATAGCGTCGAGGTTCTTTATGCGTTTAAGTTTGATGTTATTATTTAATCTTGCACGCTCACTTTGTAGTCACGTGATGACTCCATCTTTTCGGTAACCAAACTATAGTAGTATTGTTTCAAATTAAAATGCGTTCTGTTCTGAAATATTTATTGGTTAAGTTAAAGCCAATACGTGGATAAGTACATAACCTTTAATATTTCATAAATATTTCGATAAATTATTATCATAAAATTAACCAATAATCAACTGAATTTAGTCGCCAAAGTTTGTACTTAACAAAAAGTGGGCGCTGTGTCTACGCTACCTGCGACGGTTAATCCACGCGTCACCGATACGCCAGCCACAACGCGTAAAATACAACTAAACCTAACCTTAAAAATACACAACAATTTTGCACCTTTGAAATCCTAACTTAAAATAAAAGAAACCACGATGAAAAACTGGAATAAAAACTTCAACAGTCTTTGTATTTAAATAATACTGGAAATACACAGTGACTAGATACTTTTAGCGTAATACTGAAGAAGGAAGGAATAATGAATACAAAGACACAGCGTACAGTATGCAAAAGCTGAATATACGAAAAAGTAAATAAAATCCTACCCTTTAAAAACGCCCCGCCCATTTTACAAACGCACCAGCATTTATCAAAAATACTATAAAAACGCACAACCCCTTTCCTATACGATTACATAGAAAAAAACAGACTTTTAGGTTATATAGGCACTGGTTACTATGAAAAAATCACAAAATTTCTCCCCCCTCCCGCGCGTCTCGGCCTCAGTTCGGCGGCGGGAAATACACAAGGAAAGCGATGGTAGAAAAGAACAGAGTTAGTAACAGAAGTGAGACTGTGGTGTCTTGCAGAGTCGGCTGCGGTGGCGCCACCGTCGCTGTCTTTACGTCAAAGTCACAGAGAGCCGTTAGCGTATCCAGAAGGCGCGGCAGCCCCCTGCCTGGCAATGCTTCAGTCACGTCTAGGGTGCTGCACAGTCGCCCCTGCAATCATCAACCACAGTCTCACTCACTGGACTTGGTGTTTAGGGGTGATGTGGTTACTGGATTTACTGGATGCTTGACGACGGCTCGAAACCAGTGTGGACGGATCGAGTGAGGAGTTAGTGGCAAGCGGCAGCAAGCATCCAAAAAATACAGTTTTAGTAGAGAGAAACACAAAACTCACCTCGTCGACGCCGATCTTCCGACAGGCTTCGATGAAGTTGTCCACGTTGCGGCGGCAGCGTGCCATGGTCAGTTTTGGCTGAAACAACAACAACGCTATTGTAACAACCCAATTTGAATTCAAGTTGTCCGCTCACCACAGCGGGCGAAGGCACGTGAATGCTCGCCACCGACCTAGGCTTGATATGATTGGCCAGGTGGCACAGCACCACGCCGTCCGTCAGCGCCGGCGCCAGGTCCTCCGGTAACGTCATCTTCAACCTGCTCTCGATAATCTACAACAAACAACAACCCGTTGAAACCTCCCCACTCGTAAACCTAATCCCCCTCACGTTTCTCAGCTGGTTGATCAAATCCGTTTCCTCCCGCGCCTTGTCGATCTCTCTCCTCATCGTGAACGACATCTTCTCCACCGGCACGTCCTTGTTCCAGCTAATCGTCCTATTCCCTTTAACCCCGTTCATCCCCTTGTTGTCGTTCGCCCCGTTCATATACACCCTCCTCCCCGCCATCCCGTTGACGTTATTAACGTTCGCGTTATTGCACGGCGGGACGTTGTCGTGCGACAAAATCCCCGTTTTTCCCTTAACCGGCGACTTCGGTTTAACGTAGTCCTGGATGTACTTGTTCTTGTTGGTTTCGGTGTTGCCGTTGTGCTGCGGCGAGTAGTTCGTCGGGGACTTGTACGGGGAGGACGTGGGTGACGCCTTCTTCGTGTCGTCGAAGACGTACTTGGCGCCGCTCAGCGCCGAATTCAGCGGCGTCGGGTCGGACTTGGAGGTGGCGAGGGAGCTGTGCGACGTCGTCGACGCGTGGTGGGTCGGCGTGTTCGGCTCGGTTTTGTACGTCGTTTGGTCGTCGGGGTTCTTCGTTCGGTATATGGCAGGTACGTCGTGGGCCCGTTGTTGTTTCAAGGCGTCTTTGTATTCCCTGGAAGAGCACGAGGGGAGTTATTTACATGGGTGGCAGAGTTTGGTGGCAAATAGGTGAGTTCGTGCTAAGGTGGCCTAAAAGTGGCGCAGTCATCAGTCGAGATCAAGTCGAAAGTCAAAAAATACAAAGGAATTTTTAGGGGGTGTTAATATGCGGGTTAACATGCGGCTAGCGATGAAAATATGGGAGAAGCAATTAAAAATAATACAATTATTTTGAAACATAATCACAACTATTTACATCACGTGCATAATTTTAAGTTTTTTCTTTGTAATAAGTATGAATAGTTGAATTTTCTGCATTCACGGAGTCTTCGTATTTTCACAAAATCTAATAATCCAATGAATTAAGCATACAAATTTTTATTTGAAATTAAAATTATTATTTTATTAACCCTCATCATTGCAATGATACCAAAAAAAAAAAAAATCGGTTCGAAGAACTTCCCACGCCCCGGAAGTGCAGCCCAACAAATTCCATTTCTTTGAACAATCATAGAAATTGTTTGCGATTTTTATTTTCTGATAATCAATAAAATAAATAAAGTAAAAATCAATAACGTAAATAACATTTTTGACTTTTATTTTTCAATACTAAATTTTTATTTTTTTTGTTCCTTCAGTTTTTCGATTTGCAATTTTTGGGTTTTCGGGTGTAAAATTTTCAATTTTCGAACTTTTCAAGTTCCTCGAGAGTTCAATTTTTCAGTTCTTGGATTTGCAATGGTTCGTTTCGTTTTTTAATTTCTTTATTTTTTGTTTCTTCAGTTTTTCAATTTGCAATTTTTTTTTTACTTTCTCAGTTTTTGAATTTGCAATTTTTCGATTTGAGTTTCCCAAATTTTCTATTTTTAATTTTTTCAGCTTTCGATTTACAATTTTTCGTTTCGTTTTTTTGTCTATATTTTTTCAATTTTTCGATTTGAGTTTCTCCAGTTTTCAATTTTTACTATTTTCAGATTTTCGATTTGCAACGTTAATCGTTTTTTATTTGCTTTATTTTTTCGCTTCTTCAATTTTTCGATTTAAAATTTTTTAATTTTTCGATTTACAATTTCTACCTTTCCATTTTTTTTTCAATTTTTCGATTTTTTTAACTTTTTATCTCTTCAAATTTTTCGTTTGGCAATTTTTCGTTTGAGTTTCTCGACTTTTCAAGTTTTCATTTTTTCAGTTTTTCTTTTGGCAATGTTTCGTTTCGTCTACTTTCTTTATTTTTTTGTTTCTTCAATTTTTCGATTTGCAATTTATGAAATTTTCGGGTGGAAAATTTTCAATTGTCCAATTTTTGGATTTTGTAATTTTTTGATGAGTTCCTTAAATTTTCAATTTTTCATTTTTTCAGTCCTTCGATTCGCAATTTTTCGATTTGAGATTCTCAAGTTTTCAATTTTTAATGTTTTCAGTTTCTGGATTTGCAGTTCTTAGATTTGAGTTTCCCAAATTTTCTATTTTTGATTTTTTCAGTTTTCGATTTGCAATTTTTCGTTTCGTTTTCTTTTTATATATTTTTTCAATTTTTCGATTTGAGTTTCTGCAGTTTTCAATTTTTATTTTTTCGGCTTGTCGATTTGCAACGTTAATCGTTTTTTTTTTTTGCTTTATTTTTTCGCTTCTTCAAATTTTCGATTTAAAATTTTTCAATTTACAATTTCTACATTTCCATTTTTTTTTAATTTTTCGATTTTTTTAATTTTTCGATTTTTTAATTTTTCATCTGTTCAAATTTTCCGTTTTGCAATTTTTCGCTTTGAGCTCCTCGAGTTTTCAATTTTTAATTTTTTCAGTTTTTCGATTTGCAATTCGTTTGTTTTTTTATTTCTTAATTTTTTCGTTTCTTCAATTTTTCGATTTGAGTTCCTCAAATTTTCACTTTTTAATTTTTTCAGTCTTTCGATTCGCAATTTTTCGATTTGAGATTTTCAAGTTTTCAATTTTTAATATTTTCAGCTTCTGGATTTGCAATTCTTAGATTTGAGTTTCCCAAATTTTCTATTTTTAATTTTTTCAGCTTTCGATTTGCAATTTTTCGTTTCGTTTTTTTGTCTATATTTTTTCAATTTTTCGATTTGAGTTTCTCCAGTTTTCAATTTTTACTATTTTCAGATTTTCGATTTGCAACGTTAATCGTTTTTTATTTGCTTTATTTTTTCGCTTCTTCAATTTTTCGATTTAAATTTTTTTAATTTTTCGATTTACAATTTCTACTTTTCCATTTTTTTTCAATTTTTCGATTTTTTAACTTTTCATTTCTTCAAATTTTTCGTTTTGCAATTTTTCGTTTGAGTTTCTCGACTTTTCAATTTTTCATTTTTTCAGTTTTTCTTTTAGCAATGTTTCGTTTCGTCTATTTTCTTTATTTTTTTGTTTCTTCAATTTTTCGATTTGCAATGTTTGAAATTTTCAAGTTGAAAATTTTCAGTTGTCCGATTTTTGAATTTTTCAATTTTTAGATTTTGCAATTTTTTGATGTGAGTTCCTCAAATTTTCAATTTTTAATTTTTTCAGTCCTTCGATTCGCAATTTTTCGATCTGAGATTCTCGAGTTTTCAATTTTTAATGTTTTCAGTTTTCCGATTTAAAATGTTTCGTTTCGTTGATTCTCTAATTTTTTCGTTTCTTCAATTTTTTCATTTGCCATTCTTCAATTTTAGATTTTGCAATTTTTCGCTTAGAGTTTGTCGAGTTTTCAATTTTTAAGTTTTTCAGTTTTTCTTTTGGCAATGTTTCGTTTGGTTTATTTTCTTTCTATTTTTTCTTCAGTTTTTCGATTTGCTATTTATGAAATTTTCGAGTCGAAAATTTTCAATTGTCCAATTTTTGAATTTTTGAATTTTTAGATTTTGTAATTTTTTGATTTGAGTTCCTCAAATTTTCAATTTTGAATTTTTTCAGTCTTGTGGATTCGCAATTTTTTTATTTGAGATTCTCGACTTTTCAATTTTAATGTTTTCAGTTTTTCGATTTGCAATGTTTCGTTTCGTTTTTTATTCTTATTTTTCCGTTTCTTCAATTTTTGGATTTACAATTCCTAGTTTTCAATTTTGTTTTCATCTATCCGTCAATTCATTTGTTCAAAAAAAGATTTTTTAATCGTTATTTTTCGTTCCGCTTTTTATTTTCGTCATTTTCACAATTTTTCGATTGTTCAATTTTTCATTTCTTCAAATTTTTCGTTTGCAACTTTTCGATTTGAATTTCTCGAGCGTTCAATTTTTAATTTTTTCAGTTTTTCGATTTGCAATGTTTCGTTTTTTTTATCTTCTTTATTTTTTGTTTCTTCAGTTTTCCGATTTGCAATTTTTCGAGATTTCAAGTTGAAGATTTTCAAATTTTTGAATTTTTCAATTTTTAGATTTTGCAATTTTTGACTTGAGTTTATCGAGTTTTCAATTTTTAATATTTTCAGTTTTCGTTTCTTCAATTTTTCGATTTGCCATTCTTCAATTGTAGATTTTGCAATTTTTCGATTTACAATTTCTAGTTTTAAATTTTTTTCAATTTATCTATTCTTCAATTTTTCAGTTTTTCATTGTTCTGATTTTGTTTTTTTTTCCAACGTGAAAATTTTGAATTTTTCAACTTTTAAATGTTTAAGACCCGTTTTACAGAAGCTCATTTTTCTCTTCAATTTTTGATTTGCAATTTTTCCATTTTACATTTTTTTTTTAATTTTTCGTTTCGGTTTTTAATTTTCTCAATTTTTTGAGTTTTCAGTGTTTTCATTTTATAATTTTTCTTTTTTTTTCAACGTGAAAATTTTCAGTGTTTGGATTTTTCGATGTTTCTATTTCCAGTTTTTCGATATTCCAACTTTGGGATGTTGCAATTTTTAGATTCTGCAATTTTTCGATTTGCAATTTCACGAGTTTTCAATTTTTAGTTTCGGTTTTTTAATTTCTTTACTTTTTTTTTCAATTTTTCGGCTTTTCAATGTTTTCATTTTATAATTTTATCATTTTTCAGTTTCTCTATTTCCAAAGTTTTTGATTTTTCAACTTTCAGATTTTCAAATTTTTCGTTCTTAAATTTTTTGATTTTTCAGTTTCTCGACTTTCAATTTTTCGTTTCTTCAATTTTAGTTTTCATTTGTAATTTTTCATGTAATAATAACAATTTTAAAAATTGTTTACCTTTTCAGTTTTACGATTTCAGAATTTTTCCATTTTTCAATTCAAGGATGTTAAACTAAATTCATTTATTCGATTTTCCGATCTTTAATTTTTCAATTTTTCGATTATTCAATTTTTCATTTCTTCAAATTTTCGATTTGCAATTTTTCCATTCTTCATTTTTAGTTTTCAGTTTTTCGATTTTCCAACTTTTGTCAATTTTTCGATTTGACCTTTTTTAATTTCTTTATTTTTTCAATTTTTCAGCTTTTCAATGTTTTCATTTTATATATTCTTTTAATGTGAAATTTTTCATTTTTTCTATTTGCGGGTTTTCTGTTCAATTTTGTTTTTTTTTTCATTTTAGATAGATTTTCAATTTTTCGTTTCTTCGATTTTAGTTTTCATTTGTAATTTTTCATATAATAATAACAACAATTTTAAAAATTGTTTACTTTTTCAGTTTTACGATTTTAGAGTTTTTCCATTTTTCAATTCATGGATGTTAAAACTGTTTCATTTATTCGATTTTCCGATCTTTAATTTTTCAATTTTTCGATTATTCAATTTTTCATTTCTTCAAATTTTCGATTTGCAATTTTCCCATTCTTCATTTTTAGTTTTCAGTTTTTCGATTTTCCAACTTTTGTCAATTTTTCGATTTGAGCTTTTTTAATTTCTTTATTTTTTCAATTTTTCAGCTTTTCAGTGTTTTCATTTTATATATTTTTGTAATGTGAAATTTTTCAATTTTTCTATTTGCGGGTTTTCTGTTTTCAGTTTTCGATTGTTCAACTTTCAGATTTTTCAATTTTTGGTTTTTTTCATTTTAGAACGATTTTGAATTTTTCGTTTCTTCGATTTTAGTTTTCACTTGTAATTTTTCATGTAATAATGACAACAATTTTAAAAATTTTTACTTTTTCAGTTTTACTATTTTAGAATTCTTCCATTTTTCAATTAATAGATTTGAAACTTTTTCGATTTTTAATTTTCCAATTTCCCGATATTTAATTTTTCAGTTTTTCCATGTTTTAATAACACAGGTTTTCATCTTCACAATTTTTACGATTCTATAATTTTTCGATTTCACACATTTTAGGTTTTACAATTTTTCGTTTTGCGTTTTCTCTCCAATTTTTCGTTTCATTAGTTTTTCAATTTGCAATTTTCTTTTCCACTTCTTCGATTTTGCATTTTCTCGTTTTTTCAGTTTTTCGATTTTTCAATTTTTTCCGATTTTTTCTTTTTTTCATATTTAGATTTTTCAGTTTCTCGATTTTCAATTTTTCGTTTCTTCGATTTCAGTTTTCATTTATAATTTCATTAAATTTCGATCTGAATGTTTTCTATTTTTCATTTTTTTTTTGCTTCTTTAATTTAACGATGTGCAACTCTTCGAGGTTTCATTTTTATATTAGTTTTTCCATTTTCCAACTTTCGGATGTTTCAATTTTTCATTACTTCAATTTTTCGTTTCGGTTTTTAATTTTTTTTAATTTTTTGGGTATTTCGTGTTTTCATTTCATAATTTTTCTTCTTTTTTTTCAATGTGAACATTTGCAGTTTTTCTGTGTTCAACTTTTAGATTTTTCAACTTTCAGATTTTTTAATTTATCGTTTTTTCATTTTTAGATCGATTTATTATCAATTTTTTCTTTTTTCATTTTTAGATTAATCAGTTTTTCGTTACTTCGAATTTGGGTTTCATTTGTAATTTTTCATGTAGTAATAATAACAATTATTAAAATTGTTTACTTTTTCAGTTTTACTATTTTAGAATTTTTCCATTTTTCAATTAATGGATTAAGCTTTTTCATTTATTCCATTTTTCGATCTTAATTTTTCAATTTTTCGATTATTCAATTTTTCATTTCTTCAAATTATCGATTTGCAATTTTTCCATTTTTTTTTAGTTTTGGAATGTTTCAATTTTTCATTTCTTCAATTTTTCGATTTGCAATTTTTCGTTTCAATTTTTTAATTTCTTTATTTCTTCAATTTTTCAGTTTTTCAATATATTTTTTTTAATGTGAAATTTTTCAATTTTTCTATTTTCTAATTTTAAAAATTGTTCACTTTTTCAGTTTTACGATTTTAGAATTTTAGAATTTTTTCATTTATTCGATTTTTCGATTTTTAATTTTTCAATTTCTCGATTTTTAATTTTTCAGTTTTTCCATCTTTTGTCAGTTTTTCATCTTTACAATTTTTCGTTTTGCGTTTTTTTTTCCAATTTTTAGTTTTTCAATGTTTCAATTTTTCGTTTCATTAGTTTTTCAATTTGCAAATTTCTTTTCCCCTTTTTCGATTTTGCATTTTCTCGTTTTTTCAGTTGTTCGATTTTTCAATTTTTTCCAATTTTTTCGTTTTTCTATTTTCCAATTTTTCGAAAAATTATAAATTCGAAAGAAACGTCGACAAATTAGAGGAAATGAAAACACGAAAATTTTGTTGAAAATACAAATTAGGAACTGAAAAAATTGAGGCAACAAAAAATTAAAAATTTTGAAAGTCGAAGAATTGGAAAACTGAAAAAATTAAAGTTGAAAAAACAAAAAATTTGTAAAATCAAAAAATTATTGCCTTATTCTGGCATCTTTTAATGACTCTATGGAAGAGCTTTAACAAACCCCAAGTTATTCCAACCATCCACTCTTTAAAACTTACTTGTACGTTTGTATTTGGTGCAGAGGCTTCGTCGTCTTCTCCTCAGCTTCGTTGTTTCCGTTATAGTTCCCGTATCCGTCCGTGCACGGACTCAGCCTATAACTCTCCTTGGCACCGCCTTCCAACTCCTCCTCGTTGCAGATTTCCGGCGCCGGCGACGCCGTCGACGGCGTCGACAGAATCGACTGCGTCCCGTTCGTCTCCGTCCGCGTCAACAGCGGCGTCGACGTCCAACTCTTCTCCTCCAGATCCTGACTCCACCGCTTCTCGAACCCGTCGCTACTCGTACTATACCCGCTATCCACGTTCTGTCGCTTGTGCTTCAACCTGTCGACCAAAAGAGGCGGCCCAGGAGACGACCCCGTGCCGCTTTTCCTCGACCTGCAACCACACAAACCGAGCTCGTTTTTGTCGTTTGACGTCACTAAATCTTATACCTCCTCCCCAGCGTGCCGCCGCCGCCGCCCGTCTTCCGGTCCAGCCGCACCGCCTCGTTGTCCAAGTACTTGAAGATGTGCACCCGCCCCCTCCTGCACAAACTCGCCGGGGGGCTGGTCAGCGGGTTGTCCTCCACCAGCAGGTCGATCAGGGTGCCCATGTCCCGGATTTCGATGGGCAGCGTCCCGATCCTGTTCGCGCGGAGGTCCAGCCTCGCCAGCTTCAAGAAGGTCACTTCGATGGGTACGGCCAGTAGGAGGTTGTTTCGCAGGACTAGCGATTGGAGCGAGCGGAGGTCACCCATCCGGGGTGGTAGATGGGTGAGTTGGTTGCACGAGGCGTCCAGTTCGGTCAGCTGGGACATGCGGTTCAGTTCGTCGGGTAACTGGGTCAGGTTGTTGTTGGAGACTAAGAGGATCTGGAAATGTCAAAAGTAATGTATTTGTTTGTCGGAATGGGAAAGGTAAAGGCCAAAAATGGGTATGTTCGTTTCGCGATTTGTGTGAATGACGTGTGGAGGAATTTTTGGTTTTATGTAGGTTTATGATATTGGTTAGGTTTTTGATGGTTGGGAGGTTGGGCAACTCTTACGAAAATAGTGTGGTCTGGGTGAAAACCGATTTTTTACAGGTGAATAATTAACTATGATCAGGCTTATTTAGATAATGATAAGTGGCATAAATAACACAAGTTATGTGAATGACTTTACAGTTTGTCCAATACGTATCACGATACAATAAAAGCCAATTTTAAAGGCGATAAATTTGTCGAACATGTTAGGGGTTACTATTATGTATTATACTGAGTATATTTGCTACTAAAAGGTCAGGAGACGGCAGAGAGGAGACAGTAATCGTAATATTTTTAATGCTGGGCTACAAAGAAAAAGCTGCCTTATTTTCCTATGACGGATTATTATTAAGCACGAAATTCCATATATGTAAAACAACTTAACGTTATCGTGAGAATTTAACTTAACTTTTTTTTTTTTTAAGTTTGAAGGAATGAATGAATTCTCCCATTTATCACTCTCTCTTTTATTCTTTAAATGTGTGTTAACACATAGATTACAAATAACTCTATAATCTACACAAAATGTACTATATAACTTAAAAGAAAATGCATGATCTTTTACATGCCAGGTTATTTCCCCCTATCTGGGTTTTCTCTCTCTCTATCCAAGTTATCTACTGCCCCGAATTCTTTCTCTCTCCGCGGTCTCTCTCTCTCCGGATTCTGTTCCCAATTTTCTCTCCCTGCCCATGTTTCCTGTTTCTCCAAATTTCTCTCCCCAAATTTTCTGCTTCTCTGAATTTTCACCCTTCAGATTCCCTGTTTCTCCGAATTCTCTCCCCTCAAGTTTTCTGTTTCTCCCAATACTCTCTGGACCCAGGTTCCGTTTCTCCGAATCCTCTCTACCTAGGTTCCCTGTTCCTCTGAATTCGCTTTTTGCCTAGGTTAATATGCTTCTCTCTCTCCAGATTCTCTCTCTCTCCGAATTCTTTCTCTCCCCAAGTCCTGTGTTTCTTTGAATTCTATCTCCCTAGGTTCTGTTTCTCCAAATTATCTCCCCCGGGTCCTTTGTTTCTCAGAATTTTCTCTCCTTGAGTTCTATTTCTCCGATTTCTCTCCCTCCAGGTTCTCTGTTTCTCCAAATTCTCTCTTCAGTTTTTCCGTTTCTCCAAATTTCCCCTCGATACAGGTTTTATTTCTCCGAATTCTCTTTTATCACTCTCTCTCATTCTCCCGTTTATCATTCTCTCTCTCATTCTCCCATTTATCACCTTCTCTCTCATTCTCCCATTTATCACTCTCTCTTTCATTTTCCCATTTATCACCCTGTCTCTCATTCTCCAATTTATCACCCTTTCTCTCATTCTCCCATTTATCATCCTCTCTCTCATTCTTCCATTTATCACTCTCTCTCTCATTCTCCCATTTATCACCCTCTCTCTCATTCTCCCGTTTATCGCTCTCCCTTTCATTTTCCTATTTATCACTCTGTCTCATTCCCCCGTTTATCACTCTCTCTTTCATTCTCCCATTAATCATTCTCTGTCATTCTCCCATTTATCACTCTATCATTCTTCCATTTATCACTCTCTCTCATTCTCCTGTTTATCACTTTCTCTTTCATTCTCCCGTTTATCACCCTCTCTCTCATTCTCCCATTTATCACGTTCTCTCATTCTCCCATTTATCACTCTCTCTTTTATTCTCACGTTTGTCACCCTCTCTCTCTCTCATTCTCCCATTTATCACGTTCTCTCATTCTCCCATTTATCACTCTCTCTCTCAATCCCCTCATTTATCACTCTCTCTCTCATTCTACCATTTATCACTCTCTCTTTCATTCTCCCATTTATCACTCTCTCTTTCATTCTCCCATTTATCACTCTCTCCTGCATTCCCCCGTTTATCACCCTCTCTCTTATTCTCCCATTTATCACTCTCTCTTTCATTCTCCCATCTTTCATTCACCCGTTCATCACCCTCTCTCTCATTCTCCCATTTATCACTATCTCTTTCATTCTCCCATCTTTGATTCACTCGTTCATCACCCTCTCTCTCATTTTCCCATCTATCACTCTTTCTCATTCTTCCATTTTTCACTCTTTCTCATTCTCCCATTTATCACTCTCTCTCATTCTCCCATTTATCATTCTCTCTCATTCTCCAATTTATCATTCTCTCTTTCATACTCCAATTTATCACTCTCTCTCTTTCTCTCGTTTATCACTCTATCTTTCATTCTCCCATTTTTCACTCTCTCTTTCATTCTCCCATTTATCACTCTCTCATTTCCTCATTTATCACTGTCTCTCATTCTCCCATTTATCCCTCTCTCTTTCATTCTCCGGTTTATCACTCTCTCTCCTTCTCCCATTTAACACTCTCTCCTGCATTCCCCCGTTTATCACCCTCTCTCTCTCATTCTCCCATTTATCACTCTTTCTCATTCTTCCATTTATCACTCTCTCTCTCATTCTCTCATTTATCACTCTCTCTTTCATTCTCCCATTTATCACCCTCTCTCATTCTCCCATTTATCACTCTCTCTCATTCTCCCGCTTATCACTCTTTCTCATTCTCTCGTTTTTCACCCTCCACTCATTCTCCCGTTTATCGCTCTCCCTTTCATTCTCCCGTTTATTGCTCTCCCTTTCATTCTCCCATTTATCACTCTCTCATTCTCCCATTTATCACTCTTTTTCTCCTATTTATCACTCTCTCATTCGCCCATGTATCACTCTGTCTTTTATTCGCCCATGTATCACTCTCTCTTTTATTCTCCCATTTATCACTCTCTCTCTCTCTCTCTCTCTCTCTCATTCTCCCGTTTATCACCCGCTCTCTCATTCTCCCATTTATCACTCTTTCTCATTCTCCCATTTATCACTCTCTCTCATTCTCCTATTTATCACTCTCTCTCATTCTCCCATTTATCACTCTCCCTCATTCTCTCATTTATCACTCTCTCTCTTTCTCTCTCTCTCATTCTCTCATTTATTACTCTCCCTTTCATTCTCCCATTTATCTCTCTGTCATTCTCCCACTTATCACTTTCTCTCTCATTATCCCATTTATCATTCTCTCTTCCATTTTGCCATTTATCTTTCACTCTCAGTTTTCCATTTATCAGTCTCTCTCTCTCATTCTCCCATCTAACACTCTCTTTCATTCTCCCATTTATCACTCTCTCTAATTATCCCATTTATCCCGTTTTCCGAATTCTTTCCCCTAGTTCTATTTCTCCGAATTTCCTTCCTGGTGTTCTGTTTCTCCCAAATTTGTCTCCCTCGCCATGTTCTGTTCTCCGCGTTTCTCTCCACAGGTTGTTTCTCCGAATTTCTCTCTCCCTAGGTTCTCTGTGTCTCAGAATTATTTCTCCCTCCAAATTCTCTGAATTTCCTTTCTCCATATTCTGTTTCTCTGAATTCTCTTTCCCCCTAGGTACTATGTTTCTCTGAATTCCCTCTCTACTCAGGCTCTTTCCGTTCCTTTGAATTCTCTTTCTTCCTAGATACTACGCTTCTCCAAATTCTATCGTTGCAAGTTGGATCTCGGAATTCTCTCTCTTTCATTGTCCCATTTATCACTTTCTCTCACTCTACCATTTATCACTCTTTCATTCTCCCATTTATCACTTTCTCTCATTTTCCCATTTATCACCCTCTCTCTCATTCTCCCATTTATCACTCTCTCGCATTTTCCCATTTATCACTCTCTCGCATTCTCCCATTTATCACTCTCTCTCATTCTCTCGTTTATCACTCCCTCTCTCATTCTCCCATTTATCACTCTCTCTTATTTTCCCATTTATCACTTTCTCTCATTCTCCCATTTATCGCCCTCTCTCTCATTCTCTCATTTATCACTTTCCTTCATTCTCTCATTTATCACTCTCTCTCTCTCTCAATCTCCCATTTATCACTCTCCTTCATTCTCCCATTTATGACTTTCTCTCATTCTCCCATTTATCACTCTCTCTTCAATTCTTCCATTTATCACCCTCTCTCATTCTCCCATTTATCACTCTCTCTCATTATCCCATTTCTCGTGTTCTCCGAATTCTTTCCCCTAGTTCTATTTCTCCGAATTCCCTTCCTGGCGTTGTTTCTCCTAATTTTTTCTCCCTCACCATGTTCTGTTCTCCGCCTTTCTCTCCACAGGTATGTTTCTCCGAATTTTTTCTCCCTAGGCTCTCTGTGTCTCAGAATTATTTCTCCCTCCAAATTCTCTGAATTTCCTCCATTCTCCATATTCTGTTTCTCTGAATTCTCTTTCTCCCTAGGTACTATGTTTCTCTGAATTCTCTCTCTACTCAGGTTCTTTCCGTTTCTTTGAATTCTCTTTCTTCCTTAGATACTACGTTTCTCCCAATTCTCTCTCTCCTCAGGTTCTCTACGTTTCTCCAAATTCTATCGTTGCAGGTTTGGATCTCGGAATTCTCTCTCGTCATATTCTCTTTTCACAGGTTCTCTCGTTCTCTGAACACTCTATGTCCCCAGGTTCTATGCCCCCCCCCCCCCCAGGTAATTTGTTTCATTTCTCTGAACTTTCTCTCGCCCTAAAATCCTTTGATTCTCCACATTCTTTCTCCCGAAATTATCTGTTTTTCCAAATTTCTCTTCCCAGGTTTTCTGTTTCTTCGAATTCTAGCTCCCCAGGTTCGCTGTTTCAACGAATTATATCTCCCAGATTCTCTGTTTCCCAATTCTCTCTCCTCAGATTCTTCGTGTATTTGAATTCTCTCTCCCCAAGTTATCTGTTTTTCCTAATATCTCATTCCCCGTGTTCTATCTCTCCAAATTCTCTCTCTCCTCAGGTTCTGATTTTCCCAGTCCTCGGTTCCCGAGGTTATCTAGGTTTCTCCGAATATTCTCTCTCCTCGGGTTTTGTTTCTCCAAATTATTTCTCTCCACGGATTGTTTCTCCGAATTCCCTCCCAATGGGTTCTGTTTTTCCGAATTCTCTCTTCAAGTTTCTATTACTCCAAATTCTTTGTCCCCAAGTTCTCCGTTTGTCCAAATTATCTCTCTACACAACTTTTGTTTCTCCGAATTCTCTCCTCATATTCTCCGTTTCTCCGAATTCTCTCTCCCCTGGTTCTATTTCTTCAAATTCCTCCCGCGTGTTCTCCGTATTCTCCCTTCCCAGGCTTCCTATTTCTTCACATTCTGTCTACTTCCCCGAATTCTCTCTTCCTAGTTTCTGTTTCTACAAATTCTCACTTCCCGGGTTCGCTATTTCCCGAATTCTCCCTCCGCATTCCGTATTTCTTTTCCTTTCCGGATTCTCTCATTTCAGGTCCTCTCCTATTCTCTCTCTCCCTCTGGCTGTACCTTTCTCCGAGTTTCCTCTCTCCTTAACTTTGCCTTAATAATATCTTTGTACCTCCGGGTTCTCTATTTTTCTCGTTAGACTTTCTTTGATTTTCCTCTTACATGATTTTTCTTGTCTCCCTGTGTTCTTTCGGTATCTCCACATTCTCTCGCACTCTCTCCAAATTCCCTCTCTACCTCTCTCTGGATTTCATGTTTCTTGGACTTAGTTTTTTCTCTACCTGAATACACTCTTTCTCCGATTTCTCTCTTATCTGGTTTTTCTTTTCTCTCAGAATCTCTACATTCTCTCCTTCACTCTTTCCAGATTCTCTCATTCTCTCTCCGAATTATGGTGAATTTTTTAATGACTTCTTTATTAAAAAATAACAACCAAAAATCTTCACATGATAAAAATACGATTTCGTACCTACTGGCACAAATAACTATTTAATTTGTTGACATCCCGAATGACTATCTTTTTCGGTTGGTCTATAAAAACCTTAAAATTTAGTGTTATTCCTTAAAATTAAAACCAATCTGAGCCAAGTATAAATAGAGAAATGTACGATCACTATAAACCATTACAATGTCTAGGACTTTTTTAACCTGCGATAACTCAGACCTAATGACCTCTTAAGCACCGTGACGAAGGAGACGTCTGGGAAAATCGAGTTCTCGCTATACACAACTAATAATAGTTTGTACTTTTACCGCTTATCGACTACTAACGGCGGCTTTAATTAATTTTACTGTCTCCATTTTATAAAATTAGCATGCATAAAAAATTCACAAACGGATATTTAATTAATTAATTCCACAATTAAACGAAGAAATTAATTTTCATATCGTAATAATAAACATTAACGTAAATGTGCATTCCCAAACGTGTTTTGATTAATGTCATTATAATTACTCGTTAGAAAATTAAATATTGTGTTTGTGACAAGTGAAGAGTGTTCTCGACGAGTTATTACAACATTGAAATGAAGGCACAAATGTTTAGAAAAAAACGAATTAAAAATTTTATTGCGTGTTACGCGGGCTTAAATTAAACAAATTATTTTTATGCCAACTGTAACAAACACTATTTTTATGGTCAACATAAAACATTAAGTACACGTGCACTCATAATTTACTTCAATTAATGTAATTACTACAAAGATAACAGTACGATGGACGAAATAATTTTTTAATCCGAAATTCCCAATTTTCCGACCAATCTCTATCTATGGCAACTGACGTCAGCCTTCCGGAAGTGGTACCCACCACGATAATGCTTATCAGTACACCGCAGCCTGAATCAATACCGATTAATCAATCCCGAAAACACTCAACCCCTCTCATCCACACTTACTTTAATCGGAAGTTGGCACAGCTCTCGTGGAAGTGCGTTCAATTGATTCCGGCTCAAGTCCACGTATATCAGACATTGCAGATTCACTATACTATCAGGGATGTACCGGATGGCGTTGTGATAACAATGAAGTCTTTCTAAAAAATGGAACGTCGTTACTTCTTCGGGAAGCTCGCTGAAGCGATTCTTCGACAAGTCTGCAAAAAAAAAACTAATTTAGTCGAAATTCAGGGCAGCCGCGCCGCGCCATCCATCGCCCGCCCCACGCAGTCTACGAAAGAATGAAGGGAAGTCCTTGTACGGACCGAGACGTCAATACACTCGAAAAAGAAATCTGTTGTGTTCGTAGATTTGTTTGTATGCAAATGGCAGAAGCGCGCGGAATATTAATTACAAGCGTTCGAGACTGGGAGTTATTTATAAGAGACGCTGCGTCCGTTTTGTAATTGAAAAATCGCCAAAGAAACTAAAATAATGCGTGACCGTGTGGCGAATGGCATTCGGGCGAGATTCGCACGGAAAATATTTTTGCTGGCTTGGAAAAAATGCGCGATGATAAATGGTGGCTTCCTGGCGATAAAATGAGTGCTGCTCCATTTACTTATCTTAATATTTTCTTTGATGTTGAAGTGAGTGGCGAAAAATCGAGCGATTCGCGGGCCCGGAAAAGAGAAAGTTATGGGGTTTGGCTGCACTGCAATTAGTTTTAATTTCATCGGAACAGATTGATGGGTATTAGATACACTTAGTAACAAACTTTTACTTGGAAGTCGAAACTGCGGCCAATTTCGCCTTATTATGACGATAAATGGATGATGGGCAACAGATGAGACCTCTAGGGGTTTTATTGTTAACCATTACACTTTTACGACTTGCTTTACGAGCAATTTTCTAGACAGTATGCTACCTCCACACTTATAATAAAAGTCCATATTCTCTACGTTTCGTGAAAATATTTACAAGGCGCACTTACGAGCGTTCAGAAACGTTTGTTCGAAAATATCAGTTTTACTGAAATTCTCAGGTGAAATGTAAAAATCGAACAATTGGAGTCGTACAAACCTTGAAAAAATTACAAACCTCGATATTTATATATCGCGACATAAAACTAACTGTTGTCACACTTTCTAAATATCGAGTATTCACAACATAAATAAAAATCTCGAAAGATTGTATTAACGTCAATTTTACAAAAATAACACCGCCGTAAATAAAAATTTGGGCTTTTAGCAAGTCGTTTTGACGATTTTTTTTAAATAAACGGAAAAAATCAGAAGAAACATTTAAATCTAGAATAAAACTAAAATTTATATAGCGAATTTTCTACAGACCTCAAAACCTTAAAGCTTCCGATTTACAACAATCAGTCCAGTAGTTTCGGAGATTAACTGTCTAACAAACAACAGACGACAGACACACGACAAACGGCAGATAGAAACGACTTCGAATTTCTGAAATCTTAGACTACATAAATTGTACTTACAAAAAATAGAACTAAAAGGTTTTATCTTCTACATGATATTCCTAAAATTCATGTAAAATTTTACAACCAGTCCAGTTGTCTCGGTATCCCATTTGTCAATTTTCTCGTTTTTCCATTTTACAATTTTTCAATTTTTAGATGTTTTCCTTTTTCGGGTTATATCAGTTTCTTAATTTTTAATTTTTCGCTTTATCAATTTTTCGTTTATTCAATTTTTTCAATTAAATATATTAATTTGTCGAGTTTTCAATTTTATAATTTTCAAAATTTCAATTTTTCAACTTTTTCGATTTAATTTTTTTTTTTTTTCAATTTATCTATTATCTCTCGATTTTTAATTTTTTCGATTTTTAAATTTTTAGAAATCAATTTTGCGAATTTCCAATTTAACAATTTTATTTAATTTTTTTTTTATTTTTCAACTTGAATATTTCGCTGCCCCGATTGTTCAACTTTTTTCGTATATTATATGATTTTGCAATTTTTCCATTTGTCAATTTTATGATTTTGCAAATTTTTCTATTCGTCAATTTCATGATTTTGCAATTCTTCAATTTTTTATTAATTCATTCATTTTTCAAGTTTGTCGTTCTTCCATTTTGTTGTTTTTCGATTTTTCAATTTTTTATTTCTTCAGTTTTTCGATTATCATTTTTTCAAATTTTGCAGTTTTTCGATTTCTCAAATTCAGTGCTGCAATTTTTTGAATTTCCAATTCTTTGATTTTTTAATTTTACAGTTTGCCATTTTTCCTTGTACAGATTTTCAGTTTTTGGATACTTTAATTTTTCATTTTTCCAATTTTTTTTCGTTTTTCCAATTTATAATTTCTTCATTTTTTAATTTTCCATTTCTTCAATTTTAGGATTTTGTAATTTTTTAATTTCACATTTCATCTATTTTCTTTCCAATTTTTATATTTTTAATTTCTGGTATTCCCAGGTTTAAATTTTCAAATTTTTGGTTTTTAACTTTTTTTTTCAATTCGATTTCTCAATTTTTCGTTCAATTTTAGGATTTTGCTATTTTTAATTTGTAGAATTTTCAATTTTCAAATTTTTATCATTTTCAGTTTTTCAACTTTTCATGTTTTTAAATCAATTATTTTTAAATATTTTAATTTTTCGATGTTTCAATTTTTCGTTTTTTCCTTTTTTTGGTTTATCGATTTTCAGAATTACAATTTTTCGAATTTTTAATTCTTCAATTATTCAATTTTCCAGTTTTACGGCTTTTCTATTTCACTATTTTTCGACTTTTCAATTTTTCGTCTCTCCAGTTTACGATTTACAATTTTTAAAATTTTCAATCTTCGATTTTTTAATTTTACAATTTTGACTTTTCGAATTCACAAATTTTCTTTTTTTAGATACTTTAATTTTTCATTTTTTCAACTTATCTATTTTTCCATTTTTCAATTTACAAAGTTTCGATTTTTCATTTCTTTTCAGTTCAATTTTATCAAGTTTTTTAATTTTACATTCTTTCAATTATCTTTTCAATTTGTCTATTTTTTATTTGTAGATTTTTCATTTTTCAAATGTTTGTCGTTTTTGATTTTTCAACTTTTGATGTTTTCAAAACAATTTGTTAATTTTTTGTGCTTCAATTTTAGTATTTCGATTTTTTAATTTAATAATATTTCGGTTTTTGAATTTTTCATTTCTTCAATTTCATGAGTTTGCAATTTTTACATTTTTCAATTTTACGATTTTGCAATTTTTCAATTATTTTATTTTTCGATTTTACAATCTTCCAATTTTTAATTACATAGGGAACTAAATTTTTTCATGTTTCAATTTTTCTTTTTTTTTTGATTTGTCGTTTTTCATTTTTACAATTTTTGGAATTTTCAATCTTTTGTTTTTTCAATTTTAAATTTTCAAATTTTTGATTTTTCATCTCTTGAGTTTTTTACTTTTGCATTTTTTCTATTTTCTTTCCAATTTGGATGTTTTTAATTTCTGGATATTCCCAGGTTTAAATTTTCAAATTTTCGGTTTTTATCTTTTTTTTTTTCAATTCGATTTCTCAATTTTTCGTTCGTTCAATTTTAGGATTTTGCTATTTTTAATTTGTAGATTTTTCAATTTTCAAATTTTTATCATTTTCTGTTTTTCAACGTTTCATGTTATCAAATCAATTTGTCAATTTTTTGTGTCTTCAATTTTAGTATTTCGATTTAATTTAATAATTTTTAAATTTTTTATTTTTCAACTTTTCAATTTTACGATTGGATACTTCGATAATTTTTTTAATTTTCCTATTTTTAAATATTTTAATTTTTCGATGTTTCAATTTTTCGTTTTTTCCTTTTTTTGGTTTATCGATTTTCAGATTTACAATTTTTCGAATTTTTAATTCTTCAATTTTTCAATTTTCCAGTTTATGGCTTTTCTATTTTATTATTTTTCGACTTTTCAATTTTTCGTCTCTCCAGTTTACGATTTACAATTTTTCAAATTTTCAATCTTCGATTTTTTGATTTTACAATTTGTGACTTTTCGAGTTCACAAATTTTCTTTTTTTAGATACTTTAATTTTTCATTTTTTCAACTGATCTGTTTTTCCATTTTTCAATTTACAAAGTTTCGATTTTTCATTTCTTTTCAGTTCAATTTTTTAGTTTTTAATTTTACAGTTTTTCTATTTTCTTTCCAATTTGTATATTTTTAATTTCCGGATATTCCCCTCTTTAATTTTCAAATTTTCGTTTTTTTTAATTTTTTTTTAATTGGATTTGTCAATTTTTGGTTTGTTCAATTTTAATATTTTGCGATTTTTTAATTTTACATTCTTTCAATTTTCTTTTCAATTTGTCTATTTTTAATTTGTAGATTTTTCATTTTTCAAATGTTTATCATTTTCGATTTTTCAACTTTTGATGGTTTCAAAACAATTTGTTAATTTTTATGCTTCAATTTTAGTATTTCGATTTTTTAATTTAATAATTTTTCGGTTTTTGAATTTTTCATTTCTTCAATTTCATGAGTTTGCAATTTTTTACATGTTTCAATTTTACGATTTTGCAATTTTTCGATTTTTTTAGTTTTTTATTTTTCGATTTTACAATCTTCCAATTTTTAAATAGGTAACTAAATTTTTTCATGTTTCAATTTTTCGTTGTTTCTTTTTTTTGATGTCGTTTTTCATTTTTACAATTTTTGGAATTTTCAATCTTTCGTTTTTTCAATTTTAAATTTTCAAATTTTCGAGTTTTCATTGAAGTTTTAAAAAATTGAGAAATCGAAAACAGAAAAATTAAAAAATCGAAACATTAAAAATCTAAATTTGAAACATTCGGAGAAGAAGATCAAAAATCGAAGTCCGAAAGGTAGAAAAATCGAAAGATTGAGCAATCAGAATCTAAACAATTAAAATATCGAAAAATTAAAAAATGCAGAAATTGAAATTTTTCTAAAATTGAAATGTTCAAAAAATTGAGAAAGCGAAAACTGGAAAAATCGAGAAATCGAGAATTCGAAAAATCGATCGAGTGTAATAGTAAAAAATAAAAAATTCGCGAAATGGAATATCAAAAAATTTTAAAATTGAAAAATGTGTAATTAAAAAATCCAAAAATGTATGATTTAAAAATTGAAAAATCAAAAAAATGTGATCGTAAAATTTTAAAACTCGAAAAATTGAAAAGTCAAATTGAGAATTTCCAATAATAAATGTCGGAAAAATTGAGAAATTGAGAAATGTAAAACC